CAAACTCCCCTTCCCACGTGAGTTTGCCACGAGCACCTGGAGCAGCTTGCTTTCCAGCCTCCTGCCCACAGACTATAGGCCCTGCAGGGAAACCTGTAAAAGACTACCGAACTTGACCGAGTCAAATTATGATTTCCAGGAAATTCCTGAAACATTGAAATGAGTTGGTTGATTTTTGGATATGTTGGTCACCCAGATCAGGGGATGTATTTTTTGGGGGGAGGTTTATTTATTTTTAAGGTACTTTTGGGGTGTTTGGTAAAAGTATTTATTTTCTGTGCTTGGAGATAATTGGATTAGATTAGTACAGTTCATGATCCAATTATCTCCCAGGCACAGAGGAGGGATTATCTGATTATGTATGGGAGTGTCCTGGATCTGAGAGCCAGATGTAATTGTGTATTTGTTTCTACTGTGGTTTACTCTCAGGTCCGGGAGGAAGTGCCCTTTGCATGGGGACATGCATATAAGGCCAGTTGTGGGTGGCTGCCATTAACGTATTCCTGCTTGTGCTCCCAGAACTATGTGTTGTCTGGTTACTGGGTGGGGAGAGGGCTAATCACTGTTCCAGCTTGTTCCAGAGTGGAGGATTCAGCGGGCAAAGTCCTTGTAAGGACTAGAGCTCCCAGGACTGAGTGTCGTCCAGTGCCTGGGGGTGTCTAGAGTGAATTCCCCATTCAGCTCCAGGAGAGCGCGGATCCAGGGCCCCAGTCAAGCCACGGAGACTGTGGGCAGAAGTGCTGCGGTTTGTTCCCTGTTCCACCTAGGAAGTGGTCCTTTGGCGGGGTATGCAGTCGGCGTACAGTGAGCTCCGCTACAGATGTCATATTCTGGAACTAGATGTCATATTCTAGAGTGAAAGTAAAGGGCATTTCAGATGTATGTATCAATATCAGCCGTAAACAGAAGTTCAGATCACCTGTTGTCAATTTCTAGGAAAGTTTTAAGGGGAATGAAGCCTCTTGTAATTCTATTTCTCGTTATTTCGGCAATCATATGGCCTGTTCTTCAGTAGTTTTGATTCGCCAGTGTCTTTTACAACGCATTCCACAAAGGAAATGGCTACTTTGTGGGCAGAGAAAGGCTCTTGCTTCACCCGAAGAAATCAGCATGGCTGCTTCTTGGTCTTTTAGTACCTTACAAAACATCAGTCATTTTCAGGCTAGATGTGCTCGGCCTCTAAAAATGCGTTAGGGCCTAGGTACTTCGACCTGTTTAGGAATAAGGCCCACCCAATTGGGAATCTTGCTATATCCCATACGTACTGCCACCATATGTCAGAAAAAACAGATTTTTACTCACCATACTTTTTTTTAATATGTTGGCAGTACAAATCTCCCTCGCTCTAAATTACAATTTTGCTTACAGTGTGTGGATTAGGTGTGTATTCTTGCTACGACTGAGGTGGGTTTGCAGGTAAAGCACTTTATAAGGTAAAGAGGAAGGATTTTTCTTAATCACCTATCTTGCAGATGCTTGTCCCAATTAGGAAGCACAACCCATACGTACTGCCACCATATTAAGAAAAAAAAAAAGAGTAAAAATCTTTGGTTCTATTAGTTCGGTTTTACTGTTCCTCAGCTTGTGGTGCAGTTCATGGTACTCTGTCTTTTGCAGCATGAAGATCACAAACCTCCAACACAGAGCCGCTATGTGGTTGTTTCAGAAAATTGCTAAAAATATGACTGAGATTCCTTTTGAGACTCTTACCTGCTTTTCCAGCACTGCTCCCTCTGCTGATGCAGTACTGGAACAGCACTTAAGTCAGTGCTCCCTCGCAGCCCTCCATCCCACTCACCATTGCTGACCTAAGGTATTAAACTTGGGGTATTTTGACTCTTTTCATGCAACCATTTTACCACCAGTCTATGCCAAAAGGAAAAATTTTTTTTATAATAGTGATTTTTTTTTTGACACACATAGCAATTTAAGCATACATGTACTGAGAACTTTAAGGGTTACTGCCAAAGGACACCCCAATATGTGTTCAGCAACATCTCCTGAGTACAGTGATAACCCCCATGTATAGGTTGTTGGGTTCACGGAGGGCTAAAAGATCTTATTTGGAGGGTGCACATTCCAGTTTTCCAACCTGGAATTTTCACAGATGGTCATCATGCACCCATGTCCTATTTGGGACATTTTTAAAGCCGGTCAATGTAATTTATGCCCATCAAATCATATATTTTTGAAAAGTAGAAACCCTAGGGTGTTTCAAATGGTGGCATTCTAACACTTTCCATGCACTAATTCTACCACCAGTCTTTGTCAAACTTTTGGGTAGTCATTTTTGTGTGTTATTTTTCACACACATTGTACTTTAGGTATGTATTCTCAGCTCCGGTTATGTATTACTGCCAAAGAACACCCCAATATGTGTTCAGCAACATCTCCTGAGTACAGTGATACCATCTATGTTTGTTGCATTGTTTGGGGGGTGTAATGCCAAACTTCTGATCCATTTTTTTTCACATATCTTCTTTTTGGGGGTCTTTTTATATATCCCAATTTATTTTCTTGCCATGAACGTGAAAAGTTAACACCACAAGGTATTGTATATGGAGTGTTTTGGAGAAAGTGTGTGGTGGTAAATTTTCATTTTAACACACACATTGCTTTTTGACAGTGATTTAGGAGCGCCTGTTGGTTATTGCAAGAAAAGACTCAAGGCCTTATGAGTACACCCATGCCCCCCATGCATAGGTTTTCCAGGATTTTGGAAAGGTTCAGTTACAAACTGAATGAGTTCTAATTTGAGTTGAAATTGAGAGTATTTTTTCTGATAGGCCTATCTTTAGTTTGGGGCTGATCACGTACCCCGGTTTTATTTCTTGCCATGAAATTGCATATATCCGCAACGTAGACACCCTGAGGTATTGTATAGACAGGCAACAGAGGGTTGTAGTCAATGGAGTATATTCAAAGCATGGTCACCAGTGGGGTATCTTAGAGATCTGTACTTGGACCCATTCTCTTTAATATTTGTATTAGTGATATTGCAGAAGGTCTTGATGGTAAGGTATGTCTTTTTGCTGATGATACAAAAATTTGCAACAGTCTTGTTCCAAGATGTATAAGTCCGATAGCAAATTATTTCGGTAAACTAGAAAAATGGTCAGAGCTGTGGCAGCTGACATTTAATGTAGATAATGCATATTGGGCATAAAAACCCAAGGGCAGAGTACAGAATATTTGGAGTCCTAACCTCAACATCTGAGGAAAAGGATTTAGGGGTAATTATTTCTGATGACTTTAAAGTAGGCAGACAATGCTAGCAGAATGCTTGGTTGTATAAGGAATTTATTGGCAGTAGAAAGAGGGAAGTGCTCATGCCATTGTACAGAACACTGGTGAGACCTCACTTGGAGTATTGTACGCAGTACTGGAGACCATATCTTCAGAAGGATATTGATACCTTAGAGAGGGTTCAGAGAAGGGCTACTAAACTGGTTCGCAGGGTAAAACATACCAGGAAAGGTGAAAGGATCTTAACATGTATAGCTTGGAGGAAAGACGTGACGGGGGGGGGGGGAGATATGATAGAATCATTTAAATTCATATAGGGAATCAACACCGTGAAGGAGGAGACTATATTTAAAATAACAAAAAACTACCACAACAGGAAGACAGTCTTAAACTAGAGGGACAAAAGGTTTAAAAATTATTTCACGAAGTATTACTTTACTGAGAGGGTAGTGGATGCATGGAATAGCCTTCCAGCCGAAGTGGTAGAGGTTAACATAGCGAGGGGGTTTAAGCATGCATGGGATAGGCCAGTGATGACTAACCTTGACACCATAAATTGTTTCTGGACTATATTTCCCATGATGCTCAGCTAGCTTTTAGAGCCTAAAAGCTAGCTGAACATCATGGGAAATTTAGTCCAGACACAATTTATGGTGTCAAGGTTAGCCATCACTGGGATAGGAAGACTATCCTAGACTTAAGATAAGGCCAGGGACTAATGAAAGTATTTAGAAAATTGGGCAGACTAGATGGGCCAAACAGTTTTTATCTGCCGTCACATTCTATGTTACTTATCAAGGTAAAAAGTAAATAGAAATCTTAGTGCTGCTTAAGTTACGGTCATATATTGATGCAAAAAAAAAAAAAGATTTAAAGGCGTCAAGCTTCCACACCAGGCATAATGTATTTAGACATACGGGGAAGTGTATACCATTACCGTTTTCCTACAGATGTTAACATGGTCATACAGAGTCACTGTATCTTTCACAATTTCCTTTACACCATTTGGTTTTTATTGTACAATGTAATCGGAGCTGCATTACCTTTATTCAACTGGATTATAACTCAAGTTGGATACATGAGGGTACACAATATTCTATATGCAGTATTTTAATATATGCCATTTCACTGGCTTTGGGATGGGAAGTATATTATAGGCTGTCTTCAGATATGTATTCCTACGTCATAGTTAATAGGTTTTTATATATATACACACACTCCCATTGATGAATCATAAGTTATGGGGAAATAATGCCATCATTGGGTTCTGGAGACGATAAACGGAGACCAAAAGTCAAGTGGTTTATATATCTCTCCAACCGGGAGGCACTGCACCTTTACTCCACATGTACAAGTAGTTTCTGTTTATACGGGGTATACACTGTATAGGCAAGAACAGGACAATATAAAATCAAAGTGTTCACCAGGAGCAGGATATTTAACATTCAATAGACTTAAAGATATTCTTTAGCGTGGATTGTTCCTCCCTTTAGTTTCTGTGGGAGGTCAATGATTAGCTTTAAGCATCTAGCTACTTCCTGTGGCAATACTGGACACTGTGCAATCAAAATTATAAAAAAAATAAATAAAATACTATATTTCGTATATTATTTTTTTATTATGATTATGTAGAAAAGTGGTGGTAAAATAAATCTACCTCCAAGTTTCCACTTTAGACTTCCCCTACAACATGAACTTTCCAAGCAATTTATCTGGAGTTCTAAAATGGTTAAAATAAATGCAATTCAGACAAATACAAATTAGAATCTGCATTTTATTAATAAAAAAATAAAATAAAAATAAAAAATTAACAAAAATGACATGGTATTAGTTACATCCAAACGAAGGCTTGGTTCTTGGAATGGTAGACAATCAAATTGCAGTTCCTTTGGGCGGTATTCAAATTTTTTTTTTAGATACTCATGATGCTTTGAATGAACTAGAAGGGAAAAAAAATAAAAAATTTTTTTTTTAAATTGAATAATTCATCAAAATTTATTTTGTTAACAAGACCAGTAATTTGAGAGTTGTGGATACCGAATAATCATATGATTTTTTTTATTTTGTTTGCCATTTAAAAAAAAAAAAAAAAAGGAATGCTTTCAAATTAAAGACAACACTGCTCAGTTGGGAGAAGTCCCTTTCCATAGTAACCGCTAAATAATTATTAATTTTTTTTTTTTTTATTAAAGCAGTTATTCTTTAAAAGTACTGAATGGATGTAAGCTGGCAAAAGAATTTCCTATTTTAGAAGAAAAATAGTTTTTGTATTAAAATTTGAAATTCTCTTTATCTAAAAGCTTTGTGAATAAGCCTCAAAGGAACTTCATTCTGTCCCTTCAAACTACACAGTCTTGGTTCTAGAACATGTATATGAGAATTTAATAATTTAAGGCCCCATAAATCATCATAATCTCTATGCATGGTTCAGTTTCTCTCTCACTGAAATTTGTCTTTCAGGTTACTATTCTATTAAAAGTAGTCTAAATCCATATCCTGAGCTAGGTGATATTTAAAAAACGTATATGGAACTCTTAAATATATTTCTTTCAGTTAGTCCCAATTTTTTTTTTTTTTTTAAATGAACAGTTAATCACCATGGAACCCAATTAGCACATTCTACATATAACTCCTACCCTTCAACATCTTTCCATCACTATTCATGCCACTTTTAGAAGTCTCCCCTATGACAATGTTCATTGTCAGTGTGACGAAACCAATCTCGCCACATTGCATTGGAGGAGCCTGGTTGCCCGCCTGCTGCCTTTGGATTATGGACCGGCAGCTAAAGGGTTAATTTTACTGTGCAGAAGGATTTATTTCTCCCTTTCTGCACAGCCGTTCGGTAGATTCCATCTACCAAACAAACAGTCTCTTTTCAGCCTCCCCAGAGCCGTGGGAAGCCGGCCGGCGACCTTAATTGGCCACCCAGAAGCTGGAGTGCGCCCTCCATTTACCTCCCTGAAGCCGCGGTTAACCGCGGCTTAACGAGCGTGTGCCGGCAATTGACCACCCAGTAGCTGCGGTTAACCGCAGCTTAATTGATTGTTACTGGGTGGTCGCGGTTACACTTAGCCGCCACACGATGGCGGTGTTCTGGAGCTCCCCGGGCAGCCAGCGCTTGTCTGCCCGGCTTTCATGCACCAAACCCGGACACTTTTACGTGCAGGCACCGCTGAACCTCCAACCCCTGGTTCTAATTCGCACGGATTGAACGAATGCATGTAAATTCGGTATTTTATGTTGGAGGAATGTTTTAACCCAGATAGCTATGCCATGGAGCCTATTCGTGGAATTAAAGACTTTGGCTCCATGGCAATTAAAACTGTATTCGTGTGGTCTGAGTGCCATTCACCTAATAATGTGCACTCAGACCTGAGCTATCTGGGGATATGTTACATGTCTGTGTTTTATGTAGTAAATGTTACTTTGTGCATTTTAAAGTATAATGCTGGTTTTGTGTTCCCACGTGTGTAATGGAGTTTTGCCTTTGACTTGGGAGATAATTGAGTTACTTCCCAATTATCTCCCAGGGCAGAGGGGAGGAAGCCAGGATGCATTGTGGGAATATACTGTGACTGTGTGTCCTTTTTGTATACTTGTCTGTCCCTTGTCACAGTCTCCCATTTGGTCCCCTAGGGGAGTGTCCACCAGGTGGGAGACCTGCATAAAAGCTGGGCAGGTAGCCCTCATTAAACAGACCACTGCTTGACCCTCAACACGGAGCCTTGTCTCGTCTTTGGGGGGATTTACTGTATGCTGCTAAGGACTGATTGCCAGGAGTGTAAGCCGCTTGGGAGCTTTTCCTGTTCGTCTGGTAGCAGCAATTCGTATGGTTCCTGTTCGTGTATTTGGAGTGCTACCTTATTCCCTTGTATGCCGTTCGGGAGTTTGGAGCATTCACTTGTATGCAGTTCGAGTGTTTGGACCATTCCCTTGTATGCAGTTCGAGTGTTTGGAGCATTCCCTTGTATGCCGTTCGGGAGTTTGGAGCATTCACTTGTATTCAGTTCATGAGTTTTGGTGATTCTACAGTAGCTGTGCCTGTCTCTGAAAGGGGGATTATCGTCTAAGCGGTTTTTTTCCCCTTTTGTGCAAAACGGTCCGTAACAGTCAGGTAAGAGCAGATCTTATAACAATGCTTAACAGGGAGCCACCCCTTTCACCTATCACCCAGTTCCAGGATAGAGGTAAATATAGCAGTGTTTAACACTGAAATTTTTCTTTTGAGATTACAAAAAAAAATAAAAAATAAACACATTTGTTAAATATACTACTAAAGTAAAAATACAAATCCTGGTAAGTGACATTTCTGCATATACTCACATCATCATATTGAAAAGTAACCATCCCCTGCTGAGCAGCATCCCTCCTTCTGAAAGTTTCTGCAATATTAAAGAATAAATACAAATTTAAACCATAAAAGTGCAATAGTAGTTGAACATTTCCCAAGAAGAGCTTTTTTGGGGACTCATGTATGTAACCCTATATGTGTCCATTAATGTAACAGTTTACATGAACATGCACTCCATTAATAATCTGGCAAACAGACTTTTGGCTGCATAGATTGTAAATCCTTGGATTTTATTCAGCAAGCGGCTATTGTTTGTTGGGATGTAGTTACCCAGTATCACAGTCATGATGGAACCAGATTCCCAATAGGAGTACTGGAACAGCATGCATATTAAGATTGTTTGGTAGGAGTTTGAATTATTACACTATCCCTAAAAGTATTTTGAAAATTTTAAGGTTTTCTCCAGAGGTTCTTGGTATAATGAGCAACTACCTGATCTTCAGATTTAAAGTGATAAAATTAGGCCCAAAATATTAGTATTTTCCATAATTTGTCTAATGGAAAAAATAAATAAACAAACAAAATGTACTTACCGGTGAGTGCTCTTAGTTTTACACAGCATGCAATGTAATCGTCAAATGCGATCCTCCCATGAGTGCTGAACCTTTTGGTAATATTATTCATGGCCTGAGGACTCAATCGAAAACCTTAAAAAATATTTATAATCAATAAATAATAAAAAAAAAAGGTTAAAACACTTTCTAAATCACAATGTTTCATGTACATTTAATTTCTGCTACAACAAAACCTAATTAATGTGGACAAAAGTAAAAACTCCCTAATTCTCCCACAGCGAGGAAAGGCACTAAAACCCCCAGGAATACATGGTTAGCTGAAACCAGAGTGAAGTACGGTTTGGTGGTCTGGTAGGAGAGAATTTAAAACGGGGAAATTTAACAATAAATGAGACAATTATAAAATGTTACTGGAACAATAGGTTAAGGAGCTCAAACGAGTATGATTAGCAACTTTAGACAACACTCTGAATGAACAGAAGCGTATCCCTTTTTTTTTTTTTTTTATTATTTCTTTGGGACTTTTTCATAGGGGAATAAATAAATTACACTTTAAAATAAAACTGGAGCTTCGGTTTTATTCTAATCCAATAATAAGTGATCTCTGATCTGAATAAAACATTTTCCCAAACAGTCACAGTCATGGACTTTCAGAAATTAACATTTTCATCAAGTTCATTCATGGAATATATTCTTATACACTTACCCATAGTACCCAACGACCTTTGCAGCTCTAATCCATCAATTGTGCCACTCCTATCTGAATCAAAGGCCATGAAGTTTTGTTTCCATCCATTTATTACCCCTCCTAGCTCTTTGAATTCATTAAAGCCCATTTTCCCTGACATGTCTCTCTAAATACAAGTTAAGGAAAACCCAAGTAAATCAGGGTAAAAACAAACTATTACATTCTGCAAACTTTGAAATGGCTGTTTAGTGATTGAATGCACTAGATTTTGTATGAATATATATATATATATATATATATATATATATATATATATATATATATATATATATATATATATATACACACACACACACACACACACATATATACACACACACACACACACACCTCTCTCTCTCCTTACACACAAACATTTGTTTCGCAACACTGCATAATGTGGTTTGCCATTCACTATTAGTTTTTCTGTGAATAAGTTTCACAGTGTTTGTGTCAGAATTCAGCGTAATAAAAGATACATCCAACATGGAGATCATCAGTCTACAGGTTTCCAGGTTAAAAGCTATAAAATAAAGAGGGGAAAAAAGGAAAAAACATTTCAAAACAGGTGTCACGACAAATCATGAAATACTGCATCAACAAATTATCCACGGCTTAATACAATAATAACTTTAATTCATTTTTCAAAAAGTATATTAAAAGGAGGATTAACAATATACCAAAACCAGGACAAAAATGTGCTGGCTAGAACATGGAATCTCGATTTGAGGCTGCTTAGAAACCCCCCCCATAACAAAACAAACCCAGCAACACCGTGAGCAGGACAGGGAGGATTAAATTAGGAGTGGAAAGCCTTCTTTATAAAGAAGTGGACAGATCAAAAGTTCTTTACTCTGCAAAGAAAGGCTCCAGAGCATCAGGAAGTTACAGTAACATGCTAGTCGAAGAAATATATCTTTGCAATAGCTAGTAGTGCAAGTCAAGGAAGAGCAAGCCAGAAAGTTATATGTATACACAGGCAGTATACATCCATAGACTGGAGTTCTGGTTCCATGGCTCAGATATCAAGATATATCAGATAACTAGTCTAGAACTCATGGTATGTATCTTTTTTTTTTTTTTTTACCCTTGGCTCTATTACTGTAAAGTGTTTCGGTTAATAAGTTACAGTTTTTTTTCTCAGAGATGTTGTGCATATTTTGTAATGATAATGTATTTTGAATTTAAAATAAATAAATAAAACCATACTTTAAAATATCCCCCTCCTCTCTACGTTGTAGCATTACAAAAATGATACAATATTCAAGTGGAGATTTTCAAGTTTTGCTCCAGTGACGAAAATTCCAAGTGAATGTTTCAATGTTATGTGCAAATGACTGAGATTGATACAATTATTTTATTTATGAAAATGCAAAGGAAGCTCAATCAATTTTTGTTTTCCAAAATCGCAGATAGATCGTTTTTCCATTTACTTCCATCATGTGACAGTTCTTGCACTATTTACTGAAGATATGGTAGATTGTGTTATAGAAATGAAGATCATTCATAGTCTACATAAATCAATAGGTCAAATATATTTACATGGAACAATAATCTACAGCATGAGTAAGGAATTAAAAAAAAAAAAAAAAGTGTCAATAAAAAGTTCTTTGAAAAGTGCTGCTTACGTTTATATCCTCCCGAGAGGCCTGATTGGGTGAGACATCTCTGCAGCTCTTCAGCATCTATCTGACCATCCTGTAATGGAAAGAACATTAAATGTGACCAAATGGATTCAGCATTTTTGTTATATCATCAAACTTCTTAATGTGTTGGAATGATCCTTTAAAATGAACACGATTGATACAAATACAATGGCACAAATAATTGTAAACCTTAGTGTTACCACCATAAACAAATTATAAACCACATGTACATGCAGCAACCTACGAGGAGCTCTGATACAATGAAACCTCAAAATAGTAAAAAATAAAATAAAAAAATAAATAAAAAAAAATATATAGTAGGTGCACAAACAGTATTGCAAATATAAGTGTAAGAAAAGTGGCAATCAGAATATATGTATCTCCCAGAAACAAACACTAAAATATATTAAAGAGGAAGAAGCGGTTACAGTTAAAATGAAAAACACACTGTGCTAAAACAGGAGATCTTAAAAGGACCACTATAGGCACCCAGACCACTTCAGCTTAATGAGGTGGTCTGGGTGCTTGGTCCAGCTAGGTTTAACCCTTTTTTCTATAAACATAGCAGTTACAGAGAAACTGCTATGTTTATAAATGGGTTAATCCAGCCTCTAGTGGCTGTCTCACTGACAGCCGCTAGAGGGCTTCCGCGCTTCTCACTGTGATTTGCACAGTGAGAAGACGCCAGCGTCCATAGGAAAGCATTGTGAATGCTTTCCTATGGACTGGCTGAATGCGCATTCAGCTGAAGAGGAGGCGGAGAGGAGGAGGAGAGCTCCCCTCCAGGGGCTGGAAAAAGAGGCAAGTTTAACCCCTTCCTCCCCCCAGAGCCTGGCGGGAGGGGAACCCTGAGGGCACTATAGTGCCAGGAAAACAAGTATGTTTTCCTGGCACTATAGTGGTCCTTTAAGTGGCAAGGCAACCATATATACTTGCACTCCCCTTTAGAAGTTGGTCTCAATGAACTAAAATACATAAAAATAAACACAGACCTAGTGCAATATAGTCAAAATAAAATATGATCTGTCATGCTTTGTAAGAAATAAATGGAACGCGTAGCACGCCAAACCCGAAAGTACCTGCACGTGTAGAGACGCGGTGACAGGCTGGGGAATACAGAGTGAGGACACTGACTGTATTTTCACCTATACCCAGGAATTTGACCTGCTCCAGCGCAGTGAGATTTTCTCTCTCTCTTTTTTTTTCTTTTACTTTTTAATACTACGGTTTGTGTCAATAATAAAGGATTTAACTTTATGATTTCGGCTGATTGTAAGTTCGCTTGAGTGCCCACGTTTGGATCCAACGATCTCAAGAGTCTGATCCTCCCTGTGCCTGATAGTCCGAAGTGGTACTATATCCACTGGACAATTGTGCGTTTATTTCTTGCAAAGCATGACAGATCATATTTTAATTTTTTATTTTTATTTTGACTATATTGCACTAGGTCTGTGTTTATTTTTATGTATTTTAGTTCATTGAGACCAACTTCTAAAGGAGAGTGCAAGTATATACGGTTGCCTTGCCAATGTGTGGTTTTCATTTTAACTGTAACAGCGTCTTCCTCACTAATATATTTTAGTGTTGATGTTTCTGGGAGATACATAGAGTCTGATTGCCACTTTTCTTACACTTCTATTTCCAATACTGTTTGCACACCTACTATTTTGGTTATTGATAATGAATAGTTTTTATTTAGATAGATCCCCAAAGAGAACACACGTGTTTTTGTCTACATTTTCTTTGGAAGTATATCTAATAATAAATAAAAAAAAATTAAAAAAAAGTATTTGTGCTGGAATCGTGAGCATTTGGACGCGATTGCACTTTTCCTATGCTTCTCAATAAACTGTAATACAGCTCATTTAGAATTGCAAAACGCAGGCGTGCGCTGGACTGCCACTTCTGTTAGCGTCACTGAGTAACAGTCTGAGGAATGACCACTAGAGGTGTTCCTAGGCTGTAATATAAACACTGCCTTTTTTCTAAAAAGACAGTGTTTACTGGAAAATGCCTGCAGGGAC